GAGAAATCTGAGACGCGAGATTCGCAGCAACCTGCTGCAGGCCCTCCGCTCCGGGGACGCGGGCCCAGCTGCGCCGCGCCGCCCCCTAGTGGCCAGAGGCGGCGTGTCGCGGGGCCTCGCAAGGCTCGGGAACCTGCGGTGACGTGGGAAACCCGATCCTGCCGTTCCTGGGCCTCGGGGACCAACTCTGGAACCTTGGCAGGGTCAGGAGTACCGAGTGATCCCTGCACATTGTGTCATCACACTCCGTCATCCTGGTGACCCCTGCCCCCAGCAGTGACGCCCTCAGCGATCTCTGCGGTCACCAGGGGCCAGTGTGGGGCAGGCTGGACCTGCTGCTGCCTGCTGAGTGGCTGGGGGTGTCTACAGGGCAAAGCTTCTCTGACTTACTGGAGAAGCCATTCGGCGGCTCCCGCTGTCCCCAGGGTGGGCTCCCCTGGGCCCACAGGTAACAGGCACTCCCTGGAGGTCAGCTGCTCCCAGGAGGCAACGTGGGGCTGCGTCCTGTGCTTCATTTCCCGTGGGCTGGGACAGGCAGGAGGCTTTTCCCTGTGGGCGAAGCATTTCTAAGTGAGATTCCCCGCCCAGGAGGCTGGGAGGGGACCACAGCGCCTGCTGGGGGACCACTGACTGCATGCCCACCGGCGGAGGCCACCAAAGAGGAGGGAGCCGCAGGGGACAGCGGCTGTGACTCAGGAGCTCCCCCAGCTGGGAAGTGGCACCAAGGCACCCGAGGCTTACAACCAGGACCCAGACAAATCACTCCTCCTTGGAGGTGGGGGCAGTAGATAAACAAGATGTGGTCCATCCATACAAAGGAATATTAGTCAGCCGTAAAAAGGAAGGACATTCTGACATGTGCTCGATGGGGGGAACCCTGAGGACGTTGTGCTGAGTGAAGCAAGCCAGTCGCACCAGACAAATACTGTGTGACTGCGTTCACATGAGGTCCCCAGAGGAGACATGTTCGTGGAGACAGAGTGGAATGGCGGGGGCTGGGGCTGGGGAGCGGGTGGGAGTTGTGTAATGGGGACAGAGTGTCAGTTTTGCAAGACGGAACGAGCTCCAGAGGCGGGCGGCGGTGCTGGTTGCACAACAGCGGGCACGGACGTGGCGCCGCTGAACCGGGCCCTGAGAAACGGCGAAGGTGGTGAACTTGCGTGACGTGGGTTTTACCGCAAATTTTTAAAAAAGTACAACAATGATTAATTTTTTTAATTAGTAAAAATAGAAAAATAAGAGCGCTGACATTTCCAGCTTAAAAGCCTTCCTGAACCACCTTCGGAAGCGGAGGGCTGGCATTTGAAACTCAGCATGTCCCTCCCACATCTCGTCACAAACCCCGCAAAACCTCCTGGCCTGTCGCCTCTCATCTCAGTTCAATGTCACAGGGAACGAGAGGAAAGTCTGCCAGGAAGCGTCTCTGCTGCCAAGGAATTGTGACAGACATTTTGCAGGGGAGGAAGGTGGAGGGCGGGGAGGGGGGAAGGCCTGCCTTTCTTCCCTGAGAACACACGGAACGGGCTTTCTGGTTCTGCCGGACGAGGAGCTGCATTGCCGGCCACGGGGCCTGTCGGACGCAGCCTCCCCGTTCATCCTCCGGTCCCCTCTCATTCATTTGCCAGATGCCTTTGGGGGGACCTGCTCTGTGCCAGACACTGTCCCAGGTGACAAGGATTTGGGGGCACATAAAACAGACAAAGGCCACACTCCTTGCCCTGGTTGGGTGACAGAACAACAAACAAACAAATGAATGAACAAGCTGCTTCTGGAGAGAGGGAGTCACAGGGACAGCAGAATGGGAGAGAGGCCTGGCCCTCATCCACAGTGCCTGCCAGATGGGCTGTTCCCCTTCTACACCCCACACAAGATGAGCAGCCCTGGGGGACAACTGTGCTCCCCACACTGCGAGCCTTCGCGTTGGGCAGAGCCTAGTCACTGAATCCCCAGCGCCCAGAGCCCTGACTACCGGCTGCCGTTTTGTTTTAGTTCCTGAAGGCTGGGCTGCACCGGCTACTTCCAGGCCTTTCCTGCTCCGCCAGTGCCCCCTGCTGGACAGGGGCTGTTCCTACAACCAGTCGGACTCGTAGGCTCCTATAGGAGGGGGCAGCGGAGAACCGCGATCGCCCTCACCCTACCCACCCCCGCCTCTAGTAGACAAGACAGGCTCAGTCAAGGTGAAGATTGACCTTTGTCGGGGAGATACCGGCCTAGGGCATGACTAAGCATTATGACTCGCGTTTACTTACAAAGTTTTAATTTCAGACCATTGTATGTGGTTACTTTTAGCCTCTGAGTTTGCAAGGCCACCATGAGGGCCTCCCTCGAGCTTGTCAAGTTTAGTATGTGGCCCCTTTTTTGTCCACGTTAACATTTGGACTTGATCCTAACATAATAAGAAGGTATTGAACGTTTTAAGCAAAGCCCAATATATCTGATTTACGGGTTTCAAAGCCCCCGTTGGCTGCCGTGCAGCGTGTGGAGGGTGGCTTGGAGAGGGGACAGGGAAACCGCTTTTGAGACATTTCAGTAGGCAGGCGAGGTGGGGTGGGCAGAGGAGGCGGCGAGTCCAGGGTGTCTTGGGCGGTGCCGCAGTCGCACTGAGAAGTGCGCGCTGGCTCTGTTAACAGCGGATCATTCCGATCCGACATCCTTAGAAGTCACTCCTGCAAGAGTGTCTGTGCAGCAAAGTTTCTGGTAGAGCGGGGGCGATGAGGCAGATGGGGCCCCGACAGGGGGTCCACCTGCTTGTGCCTGTGCCTCACATCCAAGAGGGGCTGGTGACCTGGGCTCGGCCCACCTCCGCCACCCAGAGCCTGCCTTTCCCCTCGCTCCCTTCCGGCAGCAGGAAGATCCCTGGGACGCCAGCTTCCCATCTCCCTCTGCTGCCCCGCACAACTGTGTAGCCAAGGCAGTTTAAAATTTCACATTCCTGGCCATTCTTCGTTTTTATCTCTCATCACGTCTCTTGAGTTTCGAGAAATGCTGTTTCTGTAAGTTGAGTTGTATCCGCACACTGCCCGCGCTTGCTCGTGGTACATCACCTGTGGCTGCTTTGTGCGAGCGCAGGGCCCCCAAGTCGCTCGGAGACCTCACTACGTGCGATCCCATTTACTGTCGGGCCCTCTGTTGACCCCTGGCCTCCATCCTAGTCGGCAGGCTCACGCCAGGCTGACCCTGCCCCACCTCCTCACACACCACCCGAGAGTCACATTCCTGCAAGTCCTGGTGTGGGAAGAGCAGCCCGGAAGTGCTCTCTAGCTCACGCACACCCCATTTCACGTGCGTGCACAGCCTGACTACAGGAGCGCGGGGCTGCCCGGAACTGGCTGAGGAGATGTCCCCAAGGGCTTACCGTGCTCTTGGGCGTGGGAGAAAGAACAAGTCAACTGATGCCAGTGTGACTGCAGGCTGCCCCTCGCAAGCTGTATTAACCCATCTCCGTTTAATCTCCTGGGAAGGGAAGGAGCTCCAGACTCCAGCAGGTGAGACACTCCGCAAGGTCACCCAAGAACACAGCCGAGCCCCCCACCCCCCGGCCAGCTTCCCTGGGTTAACTGACTTATGAAGAGGTGAGGGGACCCTCTTAACTCGCCAGTTGGTCAGGGGTGGGGGAGGAGGGAGCCAGGAGGCCTGAAGGTGGCAGTGCTGGAGAGAACGGGGTGCCTGGCTTCCCCAAGCCCCACTGGAGACCAATGACCTTCATCTGCTGTGTTTTGTGCCGAGCAGGCCAGCTTCAAACATCCCACTCCAACCACGGTCCTGCGCTAATCTCCACTTAGAAGCCACATAAGCAGCAGCGATTGGCCCACGTCCCTTGGAGTTCAGCTGCACATATATAATCATGTCAGCTGTCATCTAGACCAGAACTTAAAAAAATAATATTGCCAGAAAATGATATATGGCTAGCTCAAAAGCTGTTAAGCTGAATTTTCATTTTTAAAAAAATCTTGTCTTTTGTCCTATTAGCGTTTAGTCCCTGTATGTCCCCTCCCCCCGCACCCCAGGCGTCAGTCTGCTCGCCTTCTAGGAGTCTGTCCCCATTTTGTTTGTTTCCTCGTTAGTTCATTCTTTCACCGGTGACTACACTTTTAATTTTCTCAACCCAATTTACTTTTTTGTAGGTAAGTAAATATTTAAGCATTATGTATTCCAAATTAAAAAAGTTTTTCTTTACAGCACCCTTGTTAACTTACGCTTTCTGGAACTTGCAGTGTCTTTATGCAGATATTAAACCTCAGCTTTTAAATTATTCTAATTTTTCCTAATTTGTCCTAATTACTACCTGCTGCTTAATATCAACCATAAGTTTAAAAACCGTTCCAGCAACATAGATGTTGCGTAAGGAAGCTGTTTTCATATTCAGTGACTGCGCTGTAGGGATATACTAATTACTTACAGCCGTACCCAGTAGCTGCCAAATAGTAAACACAGCTTAATTGTTCTTTCAGCTTCTGAACTCAGTTTTTCAGTTTGTAACCAGTGAACCACCTGAACAAAAAAATATAAATGTGTAACGACACAGAAGGTCCACGAAAGCTCTGGCTGAGGTTACACTGTCAACCTCTCCATGATGTACTGAGAAATGAGAATTATACCCGTCTGTGAACACGCTCGATTGGCCTCCAAGATCTCAGATAAATGACACGAAAGCAACCTATGCTGCATGGTCACCGAAGGTCTGCTGCCTAAGAGGACCATCTTACAAGACAGTGTTTAAGAGCAAGATCGACGCCTCTTGTATCTCCAAGGAATCCTGAAGGTTCTACGTTGTTGGGGTGAAAGAACAAAACCCTCATGCCAGTCACCCAAACAAATGATTTGACTGTTCATTTTGAGGGGAAAGAAACGGCATGCTGTGGCTCAGTGTGCCACGGTGTCCTCCTAAGGGGCGCGCTCCCACACCCCTTTACCGCGCTCCTAAAACCCAACGAGCAACACATCTACTTTCAGACCAACAGAAAAGGAAGTAAATATGTAAAGTCCTTTCCACAGAAAGCTTTTCCAGTAAAATTAAGAAATTTTAATTAGTTTAAATTATAAACCAAGGCTTGGCAACCGTATATAGACATGTTTGCTGTGAACAAATGAAAGACTGTGACGTTATAGTGTCAATTCCAGCTTCAGAATTAGTTGCAATAATTTACAAAATTTTCTGAGAAACTGTACAATTTCCTTAGGTTTACAACCAACGTGGAAAATTTAATACGATAAATAATTTACTACTTATCGCAAGAATAAGCTATAGAAAACTGCATCACTATTAGGATCGAATAATAAGAAAGCTTTAATGGCTCAGTAGTTTTTCCAGAGAGTGTATAAATATATAAATCTTTTAAAAGTAATACTATTTGTTGGGCCGCAAAACCCATCAAAGTAACAGTTTTGCCACAATGCACAGGTAAGTTCATTCGCTTTGCTTGCCGCATAGCTCCCACCAAGCAGCTTTCAGGTGAGAACTGGAAGACATTTAAAAAGCATACTCTCCGTGAAATAACGAAGACGGTGAGAAACAGTGTGCAAACAATAAACTTTAAAATTCCGCACTCCGACAGCATATGCCTATTAACAGGATTTTTCAATCGATTTAGTTAATACTCGAGATAATCTGAGAAGGCAGCGTCCTCTCGCAGTGTGGTCCGGCCAACTCAGATCGGAGGTCTTTCGCTGCAACAGGGAAAGTGGTCCTCGGTCCGAAACAGGACGGGGGGCTCGTAGCGAGTCTGCCGGGGCCCAGTTGGGGGCGCCTTGTTGAAAATGGAAGGCACGGGAATCGTATGCAGTAGTTTCCGGAACGTACTGGGGAAAGACCCCAGCTCGGCCTCTGCCTTGGCGACCTGCTCTTCCATTCGGGCCACGCTGGCGCCGACCATGCCGACGAAGGCCTCGAGTCTGTCGATCTTGCCGTACACCCGCCGCATCTCGGTGGCCTTCGCGTAGATGCGAGGCACGCCCTCGCTGACGACGTGGGAGGAGTCGCCGCGCAGCATGTCCAGCATTCCCACGAACTCGTCCACCCTGGTGAGCAGCTCCTCCAGGCTCGCGTCCAGGGCCTCCACCTCCGGCCGCGCTCCGGCGCCGGGCAGCAGGCAGGCGGCGTAGCCCGCTGCGGCGCGGCGCAGCAGCGGCAGGTCGCGGCCCGGCGCGCCCAACTCCGGGCCCTCGTCCTCCCACGGCCCCGAGGCGCTGCTCTGGCTCTGGGACACGTTGCCGCTATCCCCGCTCCAGCCCACGCCCTGGGGGTCGGCCTCCTCCGCCCCTGATTCCTCCTGACATAGACCGCCGTCTGCAGAGTGACCCTCCATAGCCCGTGACTTCCGGGCTCCCAGGCTGCTTCCGGCCTCTGCGTACGCGCACGCACAGTAGCACGCCATTGCTTCCGGCCCGCGTGCTCGCGCACGCACCACTACGACCCCCCCCTTGCGGGCTCCGCGCGCGCACTCACGCGCGTGCACGCTGAGGGCTCTGTGCGCATGCTTCAGTCAGAAACTGCATTTAAAAACGAAGGTGTACCGGCAGGGCGGTGAAGTGCTTACAGCCTAACGGTGCATGTTCGTTACTTTTTGCATCTCATATAAGCGTGTAATCTCTGTGGGTGAAAAGGGGCCACATACGAAACCTGACAAGTCCAGGGAAGGTCTGCGTGACAGCCATATGCACTCAGAGACAGAAAGTAACAGCACAGGATATAGTCTGAAGTTAAACTAACCAAAAGCAGGCTAGGCGGGCAGTCATTGCCCTGGGCTAGGATCTAGTAACAAAAAGTTAATCTTTACCTTGATTGAGCCTGCCTGTTGTCTTTTTGTATCTATGGTAACAGAGCTTTGGAATGTCAGGTCACTTCCCTTTATTCCAAACTCCTGGGGCACAACCCCCGCCACCAACCACCCAGATGCCCTCACTGTTACTCTTGTTCCTTGTTGACTGTTAACTATCCTGCCCCCGCCCCCCGCCTGTGTAAAGAAGTGCGTGTCTATCATTTCACCCTCTTAGCCAAGGCCAGAGGTTTCCCCGCTTTGCTTTCTCCCGCCTCCCTAATCTCTCACCAGCAGATTTCATGTAACCTGATTGTAATGTATAAAATAAGGTGCAAAACTGCCATTTCTGGAACATTTTCTCAAACTGTTGAGGTGTTGCTTCCTGGCAATTGTCATCGGTTTGGCTCAAATAAGCTCATAAAAGTTCTTACAGGTTTGGATGTTTCTTCTGTTGACACCTCTGTCCTGATGAAGATAAAGAACGTGCTCAAGACCAGGAAGGGTTCCTTTCTGTTCCCAGCTTTTTCTTGCTACTTACAGTGAAATGGAAGAGAGGAGAGATTAACAAAAGATATGCTTGATGACTTTGAAAGTTTCCAGCCTCTTCAGATGGCTAAAAACACAGGGATAAAATTAAGAAATGGTTTCATAGCAAAGATGAAATCTAGGGCACTGCCAGAAAAACCAAAGGGTTTGACTGTAAAATCCTTCAGTTGTCCTATATATTGTTAAACAAGACAAGACATCTTTGTCTGAAGTGCCTAACTTTCACCCATTTTTATGCTCAATTATTAGGCGTTGAGTGGAGAAAACTTAGAAAACAGAAGGAGACATCTTTCTGAGGCAGCATAGTAAGAAACTTGGAAAATTCCTTGGCAAAAAGAGGAGGGAAACAGAGGCAGAGAGCTGAGCAGTGTGCAGCCGGGTGTGGAGGAGCAGCAGGGCGGAAGGCAGGCAGCGGGCAAAGCTGGGAAGACAAGGACCTTAGCCCCAGGGTAACCTCTCCTCCGGGCCTTTCCTCCCTGAAAATAACATCTAGGCCTGAGGTGTGTTTCAGCTCTAGGCCCAGAAAAGCAGCAAAACCAGACAAATGACTGCACTCTAACCTTGGGACCAGCTGCACTGAATAATGACCCCTGCCCTGGCGCCGACCAACGGTGAAGCCACGCCCCAGAGCGGACACCCTGGAAAGCCGGTGCACACGCTCTGCAGAGCCTCGCGAGGATCTCCACCCTCAAAAGCTTTGACGAGGAAGGACCCGCAAGCAATCTCACTCCCCGCCGCCCCCCCGCCCCCGCCGAGCATGCCTGTGCCTTTCTGCCCTCCTCTTTCTTCCCGTCCCCAGCCATGTACCTCCTAAACTCCGGGGGACCCCATGAGCCTTGTGCCTGGGACAGCCATGGGCAGCGACTGTTTATCCTGGGCAGATGCCCTGAACTTGTCCCCAAAGCCCCCCCTTTTCTCTGACTGCCCAGGAAGCTAAAGCAGCGGGCCGAGGCTCACTTCTGAGCCCTCCTGTTGCTTTCTCTGTGTTATGCCCAACCTTGTTCTCCTGTTCCGGCTTTAATAAATGTACCTCATAGTCACCTAGACTTGTGTGAAATCTTTCCTACAGGAAGTCAAGAACCCACGCACTACCAACCGGCCCTAGGCAGACCACTTTCCGGTAACATTTCTGTGGCAGAAAGCAAGGACATGTTCAAATAACTTTGGGGACATGTCAAAAGGACACAGAGGCCAGCCTAAGTGGGTGCCCACAGGCATATCAGGGACAATTTGGTCATCAGAATAATGGTAGTAATGATTACAACCCGTTGAATAATACTGGGGACTCTGAGTTCATAGAAATATAAATACATGAATAAATTAAGTGCTTAAGGAACAGAATATTTCCATAGTTTCAAAGTACCTCAGTACAAATTCTTATTAGTTGCAAAGGTGAAAAGAATAACTCGATAGTGGAGACGTGTTTGGTTGTGCCCGTGGGAGCCTATCAGGCTGGCTTCTGTGTCCTTTCCACGGATACCGGTCATTCTTCAAACGCGTCCTTACTTTCTGTCAGAACAAGATGGTTAGATACAGCAAGATCTTTCTTGCCCAGCTCTGGAATGGCCCATTTTTTTCAAATACCGTCTTAATCTAGTGATCAAAGTGACCACACTGAGCTACAGGACAGACTTCGAAGTCTTCGAAGTATCGAGTGCAGGGGAGGTCAAGGGGGGAGAACAGCTCATTGGGGACAAACAGCAAGGGGCCAGGCCGGAAGGCCGTGGTGTGGAGGGGGCGCCCTGAGAGCACCCAGGGCTGCGGCGAGGAAGGTGGCTCCAAAGGCCACGGGAAGGAGGAGCTGGGAGGAAGGCAGGTGAGAAGGCAGAGGGGGCAGGGTAGCCGACAACCAGTGCCTCCGGGCTTGCAGGGGGGACAGGGAGAATGGTCTAGAAATGCCCAGGAACCCTGACGGAAGCGTGCGGGATGGTGGAAGTCACCGTGCGGGAGAAGCTGGTGCTGTTTTCCGAGGGGCCAGGAGCTGTGTGGGTGGCGGGCAGGGCGTGCAGGCAGCCGGTCCTGCAGGACGGGGGCGGGTCTGGGGTGTGCGGGTACAGCCAGGGTTGGTGCTGAGCAGGGAAGGAGTGACTTGTGTTAAGCTGTGGTGGCGAGGAGCTCTCTAGGCCCACTGCTGCCACACTGAGGGGACCCCTGAGGGGGACAGGCCTGGGGGATTGAAGCCTGAGTTCGGGCTGGGCCTAGCCGACAGGGCCCGTGACCTGCTGTGCTCAGCCAAGAGTTAGTCAGCCAGGCTGCAGTGGCCTCGGCGTCCACTGGCATACGGGCACTCTACCTGGAGAAGGTGAGAGTGCACCGTCCTCGCTTGGGGACAGAGCTGGGCCGAGCACCAATTCTGCAAGTCATCAGCAGGGGGCGCTGGCTGTAGCCTGACGGCCCAGGAGCCCTCTCTGGCTGCTTCTGCTGGAGGAAATGCAATTACCAATCATGATAGGGCAGAGACACCTGTCCTGGATTAAATATTTTTTTTTTTGTATGTGTTTTTTAACAGTCTGGCCCTGGCCAGTGTGGTTCAGTGGATTGAGCACCAGCCTGCGAACTGAAAGGTTGCTGGTTTGATTCCCAGTCAGGGCACAAGCCTGGGTTGCCAGCCAGGTCCCCAGTAGGGGGCGTGCGGGAGGCAACCGATGTTTCTCTAGTGCATTGATATTTCTCTCCTTCTCTTTCTCCCTCTCCTCTCCTCTCTCCAAAATAAATAAAATCTTTTTTAAAAATTTAAAAAGTCTGAAATAACCCAGGTATCCATCAATGGATGAACGGATAAGCCAAATGTGATGTATCCATACAAAGGACTATTATTCAGCCTTAGAAAGGAAGGAAACTCTCATCCCTGCTACAATGCTGATGCGCCTGGAGGACAGGGTGGTGAGCGGGATGGGTCAGTCACAGCAAGACAAACACTGCGTGGTTCCACTGATGCGGGCTCCCTGGCAGAGTCAAATCACAGAGGAACTAGATGTGCTTGCCGGGCCTCGCAGGGGGTTGTTTAATGAGCATGCAGTTTCAGCTTTGCAAGATGAAAAATTTTGGAGCTCGGCTGCACAGCAAGGTGAATATATTTAACACTACCGAACTGTACGTTTAGAAATGCCTAAGATAGGCCCTGGATGGTGTGGCTCACTGGATTCAGCACCAGCCTGCAAACCAAAGCGTCGCCGGTTCGATTCCCAGTCAGGGCACCTGCCTGGGTTGCCAGCCAGGTCCCCAGTAGGGTGTGTGTGAGAGGCAACTGCACATTGATGTTTCTTTCCTTCTCTTTCTCCTCCCTTTCCCTCTGTCTAAAAACAAATAAAATCTCTTTAAAAAATAAAAATTACCTGGCTGGGTAGCTCAATTGGTTAGAGCATCATCCCAGCATGCCAAGGCTGTGGGTTTGATTCCCCAGTCAGAGTACAAACAAGAGCCAACCAATAAACACATCAATAAGAGGAACAACAAATTGAAGTCTCTCCCTTCGTCCCTCTCTCTAAAATCAATAAATAAAATTTAAAAATAAATAAATAAAACACAAAAAATGATTAATATAATACATTTTATGTTGTATATTTTTACCACTATAAAAAATTTTCCCCTGATCTAGTAATCCTGGTTACAAATGGAATTCGTTTTGGGGAAATTAGCTGAGCTTAAGTTAAAGATATATGCATGAAAATAAACAAAAACTAAGAACAAACTATCTTTAATAATGAGCAAACGTGGGTAACCTCATTCCGGTGAACTCCATGCAACCATTAAAAAGTGCTCATTGGACACGGCTTCCGCTTCACGAGGTGCCAGACACCAGGTGTCCCCTGGGAAGCCATGAACTCCACGGAGGTGACCGAGGAGCGAGCACTCTGCCTCCTGCTCAGGGGACCTGCACAGAGATGGGTGACAGAGAACCGAGGGAGGCTGTTCTTTGCAGCCGGAGTCTGCTCGGCCCACCAGCCGGGGGCCGGGAGGAGCGGCGGTGAGACAGAATTCCTGGGCCTCCGTGCCACCGCGGGGCCTGCATGTGCCAGGAAAAGGGTCTGCCTCAAAGCCGGGCACTTTGATGGAGACTGTCCTGTGGGGTGAAATTGGAGAGATGGATGGACATGGGCCCTATTGTCTTTCAGGGTTGAGGCTGGGACTTGTAAGGACCTGTCCAAGATGCCCAAGGGCACTGGCAGGGAGTGGTGTGCGGCTACTCACCTCCCCAGCCGGCTGCGCTCTTAGCTGGTAAGCATGGAACGCCGCCCGCCCCAGGTGAGGGTGGTTCACTGGATCTTGGCCAAGAGGCCAAGAGGCGGTAGGTGATGAGGACTCAGAAGAGACTTTGCTCCTTGAAGCAGCTGAGTAGGTCAGGGTTGCTGCCGCCTGGAGAGCCGGGGCAGGACTCCGCGGCTGGAAGCTTCTGCAGCCCTGCTGCCGAACCCGCGGGTTTCTCCAGTCCCCACTCTTGGCATCGGTTGTCCCACCGCAAGTCCGCGGCCTCAGGTCCCTGCACCCCGGCTGTAAGCAAGGCCAGGGAGCGAGGGCCCCGGTGTGGGCAGCAGCTTCTGCAGGCTCTGTCCCCTCGCCGGTGATGTCATGCACAGGATGGTGACTCACTTGTGAAGGAGCAAGAAAAAAGGAAAAACGACCTCCGCTCTGGACCACACTTCCAGCTCCCCGCCGTGGCATGTGCACCTGGCTTTTCACACTTTACTTAAACGTGCATCTGCTCTCATCTACTTTAATGAAATCCTCCTTGATCAAAAACACAGTCATCCCTTCCCCCTCAAGGGACAAACCAAAGCCTCAGCATTGGTGAGTACGCGGTCAAGGTCAGGGTCTCTCAGTGATGCCCAATCCTGCTCTGGGGACAGTGGCTCCTCCGGTCCAAAGCAGGTCAAGTCGCTGACCTAATCCCCAGCTGCGGTTGCTCTCCAAAGACTGGGAGCATTGGAGACGTGACCGGCTGCTCACTGGGGTGATTCTAATGCTCGCTTAGGATTCCTTTCTTCTCTGTTACTGTGTTTTATGTTCTTCATGGCCAAAAAAGAAAAAATAGCATTGCACCAATAAAAGATGTTACCTGACCAAACATGTTCGGAGAGGCAGAAGGTGGAGGGAGGGGTCAGGGCTTGATGAGTGGACACACAACGGACTGAACGGAGGCATGTCCCGCGGTCCTCCCTGGGGTCCAGTCTAGGGTGGCGATCCCCATGCTGAACAAACAGAAGCAGGGGCGAGCCTCCCCTGCTGGGCTGGCTCGGGGTGGGCGCTCAGGAAGTGGCCCCAGAACGGACTACCAGCCCGCCTCTGTCCTTCCTTCTCCGCGTCTCCACCGGTCAAGTGAGGAGCACCCAGTGACAAATCAGTGTGTTCTTTGGTGTATGTGGTACTGAGGCTTTAAAGAAATAATCAGTTTCTGAGACCAGGGTCATTTCACAAGTATTTTATTAATCAGACGGCCATCAGTTCGATCAGCCCAGAGAAATAATCACTGTCAGGAGCTTTCTGGAAGCCGGGGGCCTGCTCCTGTGCCCCCTTCAGGAATCCGGGCCGGCAGGGTGTCAGTTGAGTCCCTTCTGCTGGAAGAAGGAGTGACAGGCAGACGTGATGGCAGCCACAAACACTATGAACTCGTTGAAGTCCACCGTGGCATCTCCGTTGGCGTCCAGGTCCTTGAGCAGTTTGTCCACGGTCTCCTTGTCCCTTCCGGTCTAGAGGAGACAGGGGCCCAGGGTCAGCGGTGAAGGCGCCGCAGGGCAGAGGAAGGGAAGCCGACCTGAGCCCGGCCCGCCGTGCACCCCAAACACCGGCGCCTGTAAAGGAAAGACTCTGGGCGGTGGGACCTGCCCTGACGTATTTCGAGGGGACCGTCTCTGGGTCACATAATGCTCCCCACCATGAGGGTGCCCAGAAAAGGAAACGCGCTCTCGAGCTCTGGCCCTGCTCGGTTGCTGCGTTCCACTGGCCCTGTGGGTGTCGCTGTAGCGGGCACGGCTCAGGTCCCGGTCCGGGGCGCGAGACAGGGCACCGATCGGACCTGCCCGAGACACCAGGGAGCAGCAGGAATCCGAGGTTCAGACAAGGTCCTCGCCCTCCCCAGCTTGGGCCCCAAGGCGCCAGGCTTCTTGCGGAGGACCGGGTGCGGGGTCTCCCAGCAGCTGCTCACAGGACAGCGCGAGCGCGGACCTCAGGGAGGGAACAAGCACCTCACGGTACGGATCCGAGCAGCAGCAGCAGAGGGCGCTGACGACCCAGCCCCGGACCCGCAAATCCGAGAGCCACCGAACCCGGTGCGGCCGCAGGGCGGGACGCTTGAAGCCTTAAAGAGGGAGCCGGCCCGACCGCCACCCAGGGCTCATGAAACCCCGACTACACATCGGGGAGACGCCACGGTGGGCGTCGCATAGTGCAGCCAAGCCCCCGGCTGTGCCAGGTTGCTCCGTGATTCCATAGGAACCCCAGTTTGGGAGTCCCTGGCTTCGCTGCTGGTTCTCCAAAGGCACTCCCAGGGCCAGCTGCGTGGGGCAGGGTATGCAGGGAGTATGCACGCTAAGTTCAAAAGGAAGTGAAATTGCATATAAACGAGAAATTCGTTCACATCAGCTTTCACGTGGAAAGAGGCTGTGTGGGGGGGGGGTCTCTTCCCTCCACATTTTTGTATTTTTACATTTTCTACCAGACATACTTACAATACTAGAGAAAGGCAAGTGAACTTAAGTTTTAAAAATATATCTTGGTTGTGTGCATGTCTGGACAGAGAAAGACGTGATGCACCCCGGCGCTGGGTGTCTTTTAAGTGATAAGTAAGGCTCAGCGTTCCTGGCTGCTGTTCTTCAAGAAACAGTGTCATCCCGGACCCTCAGGGGGCAGGTCTCAGAGCTGCTTAGAGGCGGAGGAGGAAGTGAATAAAGGGCGGGGGTGGGGCGGGCAGCGGAGGCTGCAGAGGAAGACAGATCCTCTGCTCAAGCCCCCTGGGGAGGCCCCTCTGGGAGGCTCCCAGAAGGTCAGCTCTGGACAGACAGGGGCCAGGATGGGACCTCCTCTGGCTGTACTCCTGTCGGTCTCACGGACACCAGGCCGCAGGGACCTGGGAATGGGGGGAGGAAGCCAGCAGGCAGCCAGTGGACAGGGGTGTTTGGGGCCAGCTGCCCCCACCCCCCGACTCAGGTCCCGTCCCGCACAGGGCCACGGGGGCGCCAGAAGAGGAAGGATGCTGGCCACAGGTCAGCTGGTGCTTCAGCTCTTGCAGGGCTTGCCCGGCCCGTCCCCTTCTTTTCTAGAAGCTCCAGAGAGTCCCCTGCCCGCACCTCCCCCCACACCCTGCCCCGCACCCGCCCTGCCTCAACATTCCTCAGTGGCGGGAGCCTCCCCGTGGGGCAGCCTCGGCTTGACAGTGTCTGCCCCTTCCTTCTCCCTGCCTGTCCCCATGCTCCCTCCCCCAGCAGGCCCCCTCCGCAGGGGGAGCCCCTCATTCTGCCTCCACCCGCGCCTCACCTGCAGGAAGCCCGGCAGCTCCTTCTCCAGGAGCGCCTTCATCTCCCCCTTGCTCAGGCTCCTCCCATTGCCGTCCGCGCCCGCGTACTGGGCAAAGACCTCGATGATCAAGGCCATGGCGGTCTCCAGGCGCGACATGGTGCTGGTCGCAGCTCCGCGTCCCTGGGGGTGGCTGGTGTGGCTGAGGAAACGGTCCAGAGGCGGCCTCTTGGCACTTTTAAAGCCCAACTTCCTGTTGACACAGAGGGTGGGACGAGCAGGGCTGGACGGTTGGGCAAACCCTGCCCCTCCCTGTCCTGCATTACTCAGCTCCTGAGAAATGCGTCGTGGTAGTTTCCTGGTGCCCTGACCTGGGACCCCCCCAGGCCCAGGTAGAGCCCCCCCATTTTACTGTGCTTCCCTTGGTCTCGGGGTTGTCACCGATCGACAGCGGCGACGACACCACCCTGGGGGCGTTGGCTGTGGTGTCGTCGGCTGAGTAACGGGCGAGTGGGCCCGCGCTTCGCCCCGTCGTCCCGTGGCCATCAGGCAGGCCTGGGGCCCCGTGGGCAGACAGAGAACGCATCTGTGTGAAGGAGCGTGGGTCTGAGCGCCGCTGTGCCCTGTGGCCTGCCCGCTCTTCAGAACACCCTGTGGGTCATTCGGTGGACCCGCCGCCTCAGCTCTGGGCGGCTCCACGACCTCGCAGTTACAGGTTGGATGTGAAGGTCCCGCCCGGCTTCTGCCCGGGGGCAGGGCCGGTCTGGAGCCCTCAGCAGCTACCAGGGTGCGGGCGGAGGGGCCCCACCGGAAGCCTGACCAGCTCTGGGGAGGCCTTCCTCACTCAGGGACGGAAAGTAACCCCCCGGGATGGTCTGAGATTAAACCTTCCTGACTGAAGGCCAGGCAGCAGTTGTTGCCCTGAGCTAGAACCTTCCAGTAACAAAAAGGTCAATCTCTACCTTGATGAGCCTGCCTATTGTCTCTCTGGTATCTATGGTAACAGAGCTTTGGAAGGTCAGGTAACTTCCTTTTATTCCAAACCCCTGGGGCACAACCACAGCACTGGAGCAGAGCGGAACCCACAAAAGACCTTACTGTTACTGTCTTCGGGTTCACTGTTAACTGTCCTGCCTGGGCCTGTGTAAACGAAGCCCGGCTACCGTTTAACGCCTCACCCAAGCCGGCAGGCTTCCCTGCTTCGCTTTCTCCCGCCTCCCCAGTCTCTCACCAGGGGGTTGCAGGTAACCCCCTTAGGCCTCTGCTTTGATGGTTGCACATAAAATGAGGTGCAAAACTGCCAGTTTCCTGGAGCATTTTTCTCAAGCTGTTGAAGGTTTGCTTCCCAGCAATTGTTGTCAGTTTGGCTCAGATAAACTCACAAGGGTTCTTACAGGTTTGGCCCTTTCTGACGCGGAAAAGGGGAAGACAAGGAGAGGCCCTGGGGCTTTGTGTGGCCAGGAGGGGTCTGGGTCACATCTGTGCCCCTCCCCCGGCGGCCTCTCGCTTCTCCCCAGCGGGGGGGCATGGACGTGGAAGTGCTGTCCCCGGGGAAGCCTGCAGGACCCCCGCTGCCCTCCGTGGACGCAGGGGGAGAGCCTGGATAGAACCTGAGGAGCAAGGAGTGGGTTGGCACTTAACAGGACCAGCCACAGCGACCGTGGCCGGTGCTCTCTGGCCATGTCGCCTTCTTCCAGGCTGCCTGTCCCAGTGTGACTCCCCCCACCCCCGGTGGGTCCTTTGGGAAGAGGGAAGGACAGCTCCACTCACTCGTCTTAGGGGGAGATTCTAGGGCCCAAGTTCTGGGGCTGTGGCCTCCAGACCAGGAGGTGGAGCCCCGCAAAGGGACCTACCAGCCCCGATGCTATCAGCCCAGCAAAAGGGGAGCGCTAGCGCCCGGGCTGTTAAAGCCTGGCCTGGCTGGCCGACGGGGGATGGCCAGTTTCCGTGTGTGGAAGGAAAGGGGCCGCATATTAACCTGACCGGCCCGGGGAGGCCGGCTGCACGGGAGGGCTGCAGAGGGAAAGGGAGTGTGGGAGCACGGGGGACCTCTGTCCCTGGTGAACCGCTGCGCCCCAGACCCAGTCAGAAGCCAGTCTTACCTGTAGGAGCGTAATTACCTCTCCTGCACTTTGTCATGTACACAAGGTAAAATTAGAGCCTAAAAGATGATTTCATGGCGTAAACAGTATTACTGGAAACCTCCTACTGCAGCTCATAAAGTATATGGAAAACGTTCCATCTGCCCAAAATACAGCCGAGGGAAGTCGTGCCCTGGCACGCAGGGACACCTCACACTCTTTAGCTCCAGGTGTGGTCGCTGGGTTTTATCCAAATGCCACTGTCTCAAGATTATAAAAAATGTATTACTTATGATTTTGTATGGGCCGAGGCCTTCCCTTGCAAGGGAGTGATAGCTTTAATGGTAGGTAAATTATTTTTAAAAATTAATTCCCAAGTTGGGGGATCCCCTCTGAGTCGGTGATGGAGGGGCTCCTTTACTAGGCAGGTGACGCAATCCATTGGTGATATTTGGCCTGTTCTATAGTATTTCCATTCTGCCTATCACCCCCAGGTCTCTGGGTTGGTAGAGCACACAAATGGTACGAGGAAAACGCAGCTAGGGACATCTTCCGAAGTTTGTCACCTCCCTTGGCCGCAGGCTGTCCTGGTAGCGCTCCTCAGCCTGAAGTCTATGGCAAACACAGCCTTTCTCCTAATGAACCGGTCACCCGCCGCCCTGTGAGTCTAAAGGGAGGGATGGATGAGTCAACATTACCTAGCAGAGGCATTCTGCATGATGATGACGATGATAATGATGATGAAGATGAAGGCTCATTCACCAGCTTACAGGGACTAATAAATTAGTAACGTTTCACTGTGTGCTTCCAGACGGCGAAGACTTCAAAGACCACGGCTTATCACAAGGAGATTTTTGTCCATCAGAAAAGACATTAAAGGCTCCCCAATACTGTTGGAAGGGACCTTACTAGGGGTCTAAGGGCAAATGGACACGTGCCCCTGTCCCCGACACTCACCCCATCTACAGAGAGGTCAAGGACTTTTCAAGGACAGGAAGCCGCCTACCACGAAGGCGGAGAGCTACCCCGGCCAGCAACAAGGCCTGCATGTTCACACGCTGGTGCTGCTATTGGCTGAATGTACATAAGATGGTTTTTAGGTTGTTATTTTCTTCCTTGTGGCTTCCTAATGGAAACAGTGCCTGCCTCCCTAGAGCCCCTCCCTTACGAGATATGAAACATTTGACGGGGGTACCTGCTCATCTTTCCTACCTACTGGACAATAATACTCCAATTATTAGTCACAGTAATGAAGTTAATGCTTTGCTGGCCACACATTGGGCTTCCCCTACGATGAATATGCACTTTGGTACATTTTTTCTCTATGTATCTATTATCAAGGACCCACCCTCGGGGAATCCCTCCAAGAACACATCCCTGAGGATTCCCCTGGGGACCTTGGTATATGAGCCATATGAGGGCGTCCCTTAGTGAGGAGTGCGCAGCTCCGGCAGGGGATGAGGGAGAGCTCCGAAAACACCCGGATGTGGTGGGGAAGGCGAGCAGCGACCTGCTCTGGGTGTCACGGTGTGTCCTGTCCTCGCACTCAGCAGCCACACACTTGTGGCCGGATGTCTGTGAAACAAGGGAAAAACAGTATCAATGGGTCCCCCCTTCAAAAATTCGGATGAGATGTGCAGAGCGTGTGCGGTTGGCTGGGACGCTTGTTCCCCCAGGCGCTTCCTTGTCTCATGTTAGACATTTTCTGTTCCCAGTGGGTGTTTTGGGTTTAGTGCCATTACTCCTGTCCCTGAAGGTAAATGTTACATGGGATGCAGGAGAACGGAAGACAAGCCCTAAAAAGACTCGGGTCATGGCAGCTCAAACATTAGAAATGATCCAGAATGTTTTTTAACAAGGACAGACGAGATCTGAGTGTCTCCCATTCGCCTGCCCTTTTTTTTTTTGGAACAATAATGACAATCTGACCTTGACTGGCCCCTGAGGTTATGGGCTTGTCCCATCCCCAGCGCCCGCCCTGTCCGGCCAGACCCACGCTGACTCCCAGACTTCCCAGGTGTGAGCCTGCCCGGCGCCGTGGGGCCCCACTGCCCAACCTGAGTGTCGGTCATCGGTGCATCCTCTGGATTGAGTTATGACCAAAAGGGGGGCGTGTGGAAGAACAGGGGCCACAGGTTAACCTCACAAGCTCAGGGGAGGCCTGAGCGACAGTTTCAGGCCCTCAGAGACCTAAAGTACTCACACAGGGTGGTCTGAAAAAATGAAACTGTTAACTAAACGCAGTTCAGGGCAGGCAGTCCTGTCCTCGGCAGACGGATTTCCCCTGACAAAGGTTAGCCTTGACCTTCACTGAGCTTGTCTGTCGTCTTTTTGCACCTGGGATGACTGACCTTTGGAAGGTCAAGGTAACTTCCCTTTTTCCCAAACCCCTGGGGCACCAACTGAGACCACAAATCCCCTCATTGTTTTTGCTGTCCGGTTAATTGTTGACTTAACTATGCTGCACCCACCTGTGTAGAAGCAGCACCTGTGTAGGATGTTTGCTTTTTATCCCACCCCAGAGGTTCCCCCACCCTTTGCTTTCCGCAGCTTCCCTAATCTACCTCCGACGGATTTGCATAGCCCCCTGTGGATCCTCCTTTGATGCTAATGTGCAAATAAAATAAGGCGCTAGACTGCCTTTCTTAGGAGCATTTCTCAATCTGTGGAGATTTTGCTTCCAGGCAATTGTTGGCAGTTTAGCTCAAATAAACTCACCCACAATTCTCTCTGGGTTTGAAATGTTGGCACAAGAAGGAGTCATACTGATACCTCTGTGTCAGAGGCCCCGTTAGAGGAAAAGTGTTTCTTCACTTGGTGGAACAGCGGGAAGACGATCCAAGACGATCGCAACAGGAGTCATGAGAACAGAAAGAGAGGAGAGAGACGGGGTTCAGCTCCAGATGGGACAGGGACAGCTGGGCATTCACAGCCGGCGGGGGGCGGGGCGGGGGCAGACAGAGTGAGGGGTCGCCCGTGGAAGGTGACTAAGAGGAGATGTCAGGGATTGGGGATTCTGGCTAACGGCAGGCCCAGGACTTGGCCTCCAGGGCTGTGGGTTTGAGGAGACGGCTGGGCCAGGCAGGCTGAAGACAGGGAGCGCGCTGAAGTGTGCTCCCGGAGAGGGTTCGTCAGACCAGCGGACAGTGCCCAGAAGGCTGT